CTTAGGTAGAAACAACTGAAATTCAAGTGGAAACCAAACAAAATGCATGTGGATGCTTCGTTGCAGAGACAACGAAGCAAAAGTGCCTTCAGCACAAATAACAAGCTCTCCAAATCTAGAAAAAAGAGTTCATATCCCTTACCATCAAAAGGAACCTGATGCGATCTCTCGAAAGTCCATTTTTTCCTGGACGAAATGATCACCACAAACGATGTATTGGGAACCTAAAATGATTGGCTCAAAAGCGAAATATTGCTGAACACAGCAAAGCTCAAACTCGCGAAATTACACCACTGAATGATCCAAACGGTAACAAATTTTTACGGAAGGCAGCCGCTGAACAAAAATGAACGTAATCATTTTCAGATCACAAGAAGGCTTTTTACTTCAACATGCTCTTCAAACATACGTGCGAATCATCGTAATTAATGCTTTTGCCTCGATTTCAATGAAAACAGAATTTGACAAGAAGAGAATCTAAATAAACTCAAAACTTTTGTCGCCTGGAAACCGTGCACTGCCTACAGGTGCCTTGGATGGCAATGCACAACATGGAAACACATCGTTGAGGAAGATCTGCTTGCGAAAAGGAACAAGAGTCTTGATGTAGATTTAGACGTTACTTAATATCGATCAGAACTACTAATATCGATGTCAGAGGTACTGAAAAAAATCTTAGATACGCTGATGTTGAAGTTCCGTTAACCTCGGACGGCAATAACAATAGAGAAATTTATCTTAAAGTCTAGAACTTTTGATAGTGCCTGATTATCACTGTTCCCGATGACAATTTCGGAATTCGTTATGAACACTGAGGCTGCGAGACTACAAAAAATTCTGTCAATTTAGCAGGTACTAGAAAACGTTGGACAAATTTTGCCATGAACTTCAGACCTAAATCATCATAATCATCAGGGGAGCGTGATCAGCATTAGGATCGTGCGGCAATGAACTGTGGTCTTTGGTGATGTCGACTTCTCTTCATAATTGGTCTTTAATTTGTTTACATTCTTTATTCACATGAAAGGTGATCTTACATGAGGAAGCTATTTCAGGCAGTATATTCTACTGGTCTGATTACGGACCAGTCGAACAGTATGCAAAAAAGTTACAATGAGTGAGGCACGAAGGAAACCCCTCATGCTCTGCAGGGTAATTCTGTTCAAGAAACAAATGTCATCTGTAACAGTGAAAAGAACAAGCAGGAAGACAACTCTGATAATCATCGCCAAATAAGCAGACCACGTAGCGGCCAAATCAGATATATTCCATTGTACTTTAAAATGGCATGTGGTCTCGTTTTTTCTCTTCTGCCCCTAATACGATGCAGTTCGATATTCAGAGCAAACTATATGCTAACGATGAACTGCTGTTAAATGACTAAGTTACAGCAAAAATTTTGTTAGGATTGGTAACGCAAATAAATGAGCAGGAAGTCTGTGTCCGCATGCACTTCTAAAGAAACAATTACAGATCAATACATAAAATTTGAGAGAATGAGAATAACCGAACTGTAAATAGATTCCTACTTTCTTGAAATGAAATACAATTTCATTTTCGTTTTCCTCCGAAGAATTGGATGCGTGAATGTTGGCAGTAGAAACGGCAGAAGACGACGGAACAACAAGTTCGCCTTGGCTTTTGGTAGCGATAGCTTTCTGAAATTCTTTCAACGGAAATCGCCGTTCGAACACGGTGACACGAGCCCTGATTGATCTCAGGTTTGGGAACATGGTCATTTTCGAGTGGACAATCAGAAACCTTAACGACATATCAGAGATGAAGATGATATGCAAGATGCTTCGAAGGCGGTTATCGCATACCCGTCGATGTCGATGAGGAACGCGCTGGATGAACTATCAGCTGAGTTATAAAAGATCACCGGTGCGGTTAAGTCGGCCAAATCAGCGTCCAAACCCAGGATGCCTATCAGATTAGCATTTGCGTACACCAGAGTGTTCAGCGATACAAGGGCTGAAAAATAAATATTATAAATATCATAAATATCCACCACTGCATTTGGCCTGAATATCAAGCCGTACTTGATTTCTTTGATGAAAAGTCCTCCGTAAGAGCGATATTAAACACTTCGTGATCCGACGGCTGTGCCACCTTTACATTACCCAACGAAAATATCTTCAGGACGTCCTTAAAGTCCAAACAGTTGTCCGCTGATGTATTCACTAACGTCATCTGCAGGTCAAGCAAAAAATAATTAAACACCAAGATACAAAAACGGCGTCTTTTACCATTCCTTCACGAACTTCGGTCGGCGAGCGAGTCTTCAATTTCGCTTGAAGGTCTTTGTTGAACGACAATGTAAATTTGCTAAAATTCTGCTGTGCGATGTCGCTCAGAAATGCCGTCTCCAACATCATCGTCTTGCAGCAGTCCCATACCGGAAACGTGTGTATCTCGACTTCAAAGTTTGTGCGCAGATTTTCCTCCGCAATTTTTGTCATCACCGAAACTCCGTCGGTTAAGTGCGTTAGCAACCCGCGGGATACGTAGAAAATCATCGTTCTTTCTGAACATTTTAAATGTGTCTAACAAGTTTTCTATAGGAAAGTACAAGTGAACATAGTTCAAATCACACTCGATTTAAGCATTGACTTTTCATCGGTCTGACAGCAGAGTGTACCTTACATGATACCCTGTGGCTTACCACAACTAGCCAATTAATTTTTATACATCAATTAAGTAGAGATGTGCTAAATCATCTATTGTTCATTAATACGAACTTTTTGACCTACTCTGTCACGTTTCATTATGGTGTAGAACTTTCTATGGCCATTATATAAATTAACTTCAGTCTAACGATCCTTAATTCTTCATCGTTATTGTTACACATTTCTAAACCATCGTATCCAGACCAAAAGCAATGAACTCTACATCAAAATGCGTAACCGTAAAATAACGCTTGCAAAATATAACACGTTTTCAAACCGATGAAATTCAAAAATTTAAAAATAACTCGAATATTAATGCACTGACGAAATCCTATGCAGTGAAATACACACAGATATCGGGGTATGAACGGATCCCCACAGAACTATATGCATACAATATCTCAACACTCTCGCAGTACAGCAATTATACAATAGGCCTACAAAAATATGCATTTTTCAGAATGTCAAAAATGGTTAACAAGGCATAGGTGTTTCGCCTGCATAAGTTTTACCCCCATAACCTAACGCTTCGGACAAGGCTCGGTCCGTATTAACAGTTCCAATAAGTCATGCACGGTGTTACTTTCATACACGCATTGTTAGCCCATTTAATTGATGGCATCGTAATCGTCTGAAACTTTCGGTCCACGTGTCGCAGATACATGTACCATATACGATAATATGTGCTACAATATATAACACAATCCATCGTTAGTTTCGATAATCGCTTATCCTTTCGAGCAGTGGAAGCAGACTTGCTAGATAGTGTCGAGAACGCTCCCAATCCAGGGAGTTCGTCCTTACACTTGCAGCAGCTCTACAGACATTCGGCTTGACCAGCAGGAGCTGTTTCGCCTTCCTGGGGGTATGTATACCTGTATGTACAGATGTGCCCTCTATGAGCCCAGGCATGCATGCCTGCGTGTATGTATAGATGTAATGCTGGAAGCATTCGCACGACATGCCCAATTTATTGTGCTGCGACTTCTCAGTCTGGAAAAGCATCGATTGGATAGTAAGGCTCTATCGGAAATCTCTATTCCGGCCATTCGAGCTCAAAAAGTTCATTTCAGCCGCCTGTACCCGAGAGCAAAGTTTTCCAGTCATGGAACAGGATTGGCCGTGTGAGAACTTGAATGAAGATTGACTTGAACACCGAGAGCTTAGTCTCCAGACTAAGTTATGCTTTAATCACAATTGGTCCGGCTAGTTCATGCAGAACGCCACTGGCTACTCCAATTTCGCGGTCGATCTCTTCCTCCAATTTTCTATCACTAGTAAATACAGTTCCGAGGTACTTGAACTTCTCCACCTGCTCCACTGCCTCTCCATTAATCTGA